TCCTCGAAAGCTTCAGGGCTACAGACTACGATCGCCGGGTACTTTCCCACGATCCGAAGACTCCATGGTTTGCCCTTGTACTTGCGGCAGTACTTGAGTGCCCAGTCGACAAACTTCCCTGATTTCTGCGCCTTGATGATCTCCAAAGTGTGGCGCAGGATCGGATAGTCTCCTTCTGGCGTTGGTAGATGCTTCACAGCTCGATCGTGTGCAGATGGTATCGCCAAGTACACGAACAGCGCGGCCACACAGGACACAGCAATCGAAGTGGGCGACACCCACGCAGACATAGCGTCGAGTTTCATCTCGGTCTCGTCCCAAAATGAACAATGAGGTCACGTTGTCATGTGACTTCACAAAGAAAAAAATGATGGATCACTTCAACGTGGGTAAATTGGGTAAAAAAATGGATTTATCTGGGTTACCACTGGGTTTGGTACTATTGTGCAACATTGCAAATCTCTAGGTTGCTCGAGTTGTTTTAGATAACGTGACGTTCACGGGGCCTTTGACTTGCAATGTTACCGACGGAATGTATGTGAAGTCGAGTGGGTTGTTCACCGTTTGGATGTCGAACTTGCTGAAGATCGTCGCAAGAGTGATTTTCATCTCTGCTAGGGCAAAGCGCATGCCCAAACACATGCGCGGTCCAGCGAGAAACGCTGTGAACTTGTATGGAGAAACATGGATGAGTTTGCCAGTGTCTTGGTCGATCCACCGCTCAGGTTTGAACTCTTCTGCGTCAGACCCCCACACTGTTTCGAGACGCCCCATTGCATAGTGTGGCAGGATGATCCGCGTGCCAGCTTTAATAAACGTTCCGTTATAGAGCGTCGTATCCTGTGCAGCTATCCGTTGCATTACGGGAGCTACTGGATTGAGACGGATAGCCTCGCGAATAGAGGCTTCTAAATAGACCAGGTCATCAATGTCATCCAAGCTGGGAGTATCGCCATCTCGACCAAGTTTTGGCAGTTTGTCGGCGAGTTCACGTCGTACCTTCGCTAAAACTTCCGGAAGGCGATTCATTTCGATGATAAACCACGTCATCGTTAGGGAAGTTGAGTCCCGTCCGGCGAAGATGAAGACCATCGACATATCCCGCAGCATCGTTGGGGTTATTTCAGTTTGGTCGTCATCGCTGTAGTTAACGCTCGCTTTCTCGAGGAAGAGTGAGATGAGGTCTTTACGGTAACTATTAGAGTTTTCTCCACTCCGTTTTCGACTCGCTTTCTCCTCTAAATTACGGTGGATGACATCATACACTACGTCGTTGATGAGCTTTACATCTTTCGCCATTTGCCTTTCCGCCCCGACGTTGAGCCAGCGTGCGAGCTTCCACATGCACATGGGCTGCTGAAATCGTGCCATAATGCGACTCGATGCTCGCTCGAAAGCCTCCATGAAGCCACTGTTACCACCAGTCTCTAACCCGTGCAGCTCCACTCCAAAGCCGATTTTGGTAAAGATATCCATCGTGAACAAGTCCAGTACGCGCTTGATGTTGAGTGTCTCTCCATTCTCCACTGCCTCGTTCAACGTGGACGTCAATAGTTTGCTGTGATCGCGCACCACGTTCTCCATTGCATCGCGGATCATGTTCATGGAGAAGAAATTACTCGCAGTTTTGCGTTGGTGCTTCCACTTAATGCCGTCCACGACGAAGATGCCGTCGCCTAGTAGTCCGTGGGAAATATCTGAGATGGTAGGGCCTTTAATGAATACGTCGAATTGCGTCTTCAAGACATCCTCCATGGCTTCCGGGGAGCTCAGGATGACAGCAGGAGGACGTCCAAGCACCCTTACACGCCACGGTTGGCCTCTATGCTCTCGGCATTGCTCCAAGATCCAGTCGTAGATCCTTGCGCGCTGTATGAACACGAGATCCAGCGTGTTCTTGACCAGCGGTAGTGTGCTCCGCGGCGTAGGCAGCTCACAGACCGCCCGATCTTGATCATTCGGGGACGTGAAATAGGCCACCGCAGCAGCTATGAACGACGCCGCGATGGCAAAAGGCAGCACCATTGCGAAGAATATACCGGCTTTAGATTTAGCGAGACGAGGAATGCAGCGAGGATATCCTAGCGTCAGAGGACTCACACTGAACCGAAGAACTTGTGGCGAACCTTATGTACTATGTTCGAAGCTTCGAAATGATGGGGATACAGTTTACACGTCATGGTTTGATCAAACTACAGCTATGTAAACTGCAGTCTTCGATGGCGAAAGCTTTGGCATCAAGACTCGCTGCTTTCCAGGAAAGACTGCGGGTGTGAATATCTCAAGTATTCCGAGGGTTTAACGCACGCTGCACACAACAACATGAACTTCATCATGAGGGGAAGTGCTACACTACCAGCTCTCGACGGCGAGGTCCCGATAAACATGATGCTTTTTAGTGGTGATTTGGTTTGCCAGTCTTGCATTTGTCAGCAAGAGATCAAGTGCCTTCTTCGTATTCAATCCCCATGTGGAGCTCGCTCGAATTTGCACTAAATGTATCAGAGACGTCATGGGGAATTTTAGTATGCAC